TTGTACCATTTTACTTTCCCACCAACAGTATATGAGAGTGTCTATATCCCCATACCTTTATTGATAATTGGCACAGTCAATCTTTATAATTTTGGACATTCTAATAAATATGCGGTGAAATCTCATTATAGTTTTAATTTGCATTTCCCTATTTGAGCATCTTTTCATGTGTTTATTTGTCATCTATATATCTTTGGTAAAGTCCCCCCCCCTTTTAAATTATGTTCTTTGTTTTTTTTTCATTTTTGGCAAAATATGGCTTTTGATYATACAATAGGTTGTTCCTGTGTATGGACTCTGTGCTTATCATCAGTGGAATTGGATTTTTTTTAAAAAAAGTTTTAAGTATATATACAAGTGCACAAATATACATACCCCAAAAATGTTTTGTTACATAATCATAGAAAATACAATCCCCAGAAACCTCAAAACCAATATCAGCAGGGCAGAACTACTTGCTTGGCTGTATCTAACGCTAGAGGTTTCCCTTTAAGCAAAGAAAAGCTTAAAACCCAGTGTCATGATGGACTGTGGTGTAACAGGAAATGTTGTTGCAGCTGATAGGATAGGAGGCGTGGACACAGTAAGCTGCAGCTTCTCAAGGCAACAAGATAGCAAAAAGGTGGTAAGAACCAAGTACATCCATGACAGAGCAGAATGCTTAAATGAACACCCAGAAGCCAGGCAGACCAGGTTTTGAATTTCCTTCAACTACTGGCTCAGGGTTCTTGGGAAAGTTGATTAACCTTGTTTTCTTTATTTCCAAAATGCAGATAAAGTTTCCTCATTGATTGTTATACAAATTAAGTAAGAAAATCGTGTGGTATGCAGCAAAGTTCCCAGCACTTGTAGTCAGCTCTAATTAAACTCTGTTATTATGAAGAGGAAGTTCAACAAGAAGGTTAAGAGCATGAATTATGAATTTGAGACCAGCCAGACTTGGCTAAAACACTGACTCTGACAATTCCTAGCTGTGTGAACTTGAATTTCAAATTGCCGTTTCACCTCTCAGTGCCACAATTTCCTTTGTGCCCCAATTTTCCAATAGGGATAATGTGGTATATCATAGGATTGTTTTGAACACTGAATTCTTATTTGCAAACTACCTAGAATGGTGATAGCAAACAGAAAGTGTTTGCTATTAGAGCTGCAGTAATCTTCCCAAGCTCCAGTGGGTATATTAAGACCTGCTTACTATAACTAGTAATTGTTTTGTTCTAAAAGCTATTTATAGAGCACCTCCTATGCATAAGCATTGAACTAGTTGTTAGGAAAGACCAAAAAAAAAAAAAAAAAAAAACTGTAAAGCATGGACACCTTTTTGACCAAAGAACACACCTCTAAAACAGAAAACATGATTGATGATGACAGCCAACATGGTATATGGCTGTCATGGGAATGTCCCCCAAAAGTCCATGTGATAAATGCTTTGTCCTCAGTATGTCTCTATCAGGAGGTGATGGAAACTTTAAGAGGTAGGGTCTAGTGGGAGGTCTTCCGGTCATTGGAGTGTGACCTTGAAAGAGCCGGCTCCTTTCCCTCTTTTTTTCTTTCCCAGCCATGAGGTGAATAGCTATGTTCTGCCATGTGCTCCCTGCTATTATATGCTCCCTCACCACAGGCCCCAAAGCAACAGGGCCCACTAATTACAGAYTGAAACGTCTAAAACTGTGAGCCAAAACCTTTTTTCTATATAAGTTGATCATCTCAAGGATTTGCTACAGTAAGAGATACTTAGAGATGTTGCAAATGTAGTCAGTCATAGACCAGGGATTTGAACCCAGGTTCCAAGCTCCAGGACTACCAGATTCCCCACCATATCAAAGGACCTCCCCAAAAACATCTGTGAGCATTCTCCGCTTGAAACTTACCACAACTTAAATAAAGTAGCAAATGTGGTATCATAAAAGTTGTTTCCTCCCATCCTCTTTTCTCACCTCCAGTGACAACTAAATTTTATTTTCTCTTTGCTCTGAAACTGGGCCAAAAACCACTGAGGGCTATAATTTCACACTGTTTATTTTTTAAAGAAGACTAAATTAACTTTCTCAGAACTTTCTTTTCTCACTATCCTTTCTTCCACAACATCTCTTAATATGCAGGCATAGTTTTGAAGCTTTTTATTCAGAACATACAATCCAAAATATAAAAAAATACTTTTGTGATTTTCCTTTTACCCTATAGGTTTTGAGGGATATCTATATCAGGCTTCACACAAAACCCAGAGGAAATGATGTTGATTCTCTGTTTAACTTTCTTTAATGGCTACCAGCTAGGGCTAAAAAACCGTTTGTCTTAATCTAAGCAAGTTCCTCATTCTATTCTTGAAAGCCATTCTCTGTGGTAGAATTTAAACGAGAGAGAGAGAGAGAGAGAGAGAGAGAGAGAGAGAGAGAGAGAGAGTGTGTGTGTGTGTGTGTGTGTGTGTGTGTGTGTGTTTACAAGAGAAACTCAGCATCTGTTCTTAAATCACTAGTATGTTCTATACCTATGTGTAAGATCCTTACCTAACATGTCTCCTTCTTTTCTTCTGAAGGGTGTTAATTTTTTCCAATTGGATACTTTGTTTTCTGACTTAGTCTCAGTCACACAAAGCAAGAAGATATTAACCTCCTTTTTTTTTTTCTTTTTCTTTCTTTCTCCTTCCCCCACCCCAGGGGTTTGAACTCAGGATACTTTGCCCCTTAGCTACATCTCTAACTCCCACTCCATTTTTTTTTTTTTTTTTTTTTAAAACAGGGTCTCACTAAATTGCCCAGGCTAACCTTGAACTTGCAATCCTTCTTCCTCAGCCTCCGGATTTGCTAGAATAATAGGCATGTGCCACCACACCTGTCTTAATCTCCTTTCTTAATCCTTCCACAGTAAATTCTTAAACAATCTGTTTTCTTATCATTCTAAACTGGAATTCCAAGTCAAAGCTGGACACCTTTTCTTTCTGGCTTTAGATGTTCTTCAAATGAAATTGACAGTTTGTACATTCCTTTTTCCACGTCACTGAAGGTACTATCTATCACACCAGGGCTTAGACCCTTGTGGATTAGCCCACTGTAGCATGTAATAGGATCTGAGCTTTGTAAATCAAAGAAGTTCTGACATATCATCTATATCTATTCTCTATATATGTCCACTTTGTCAAGGGACACTTTCTTCCCACCAGGAAGAACCAATACCTATGTTAGGAAGACTTAGTGATGCTGTGAATGCCCACAGGTCACAGTGTACAAATATACAATTGTGTAATGCAAGTCCTAGGGAGCATTAGTCACCTAGACCAAACCATCCAGTTCAACCATACATAGCAGCCCTTCAGTTGGAAACTTTTTTTCCATTAAGGAAAATTTTTTTGCAAATACTTGAAGGATCCATTTGCTTGCCTGAACATTATAATCAAGGTTGTATATGTTAAAAATCAGTGATAGAGTCTGTCCATGTATTTTCTGTTCTCTAAGTCCTATCTTCACCTTTGGTCTATTCTTGCCAAAACAAGAGACTGATAATTTGTTTAAAAACCATAAGACCATGGAAATGATCTTAGAGCTAAAAGATGGTTATTATTACTCAGTAAATGAAAATGAGTTATAGAAAAGGAGAATGGTTAATAAGAAGCAAAACAGAGTCATCACACCCAAAAGTCAGATTTATTTCAAAACATAATGCTGACTCCATAATAATAAATATGTTTAACACTGAAAGTAGAAAAAACTATTGTGCATATTCTATGAAGACACGGTGCTAAGAATTAGAGAAAAAGGTAGCCCTTCACCGCTAGGCCACTGATAAAACAATCTGGGAGAGGTGCACAATCACATGGATAAGGCAGGGGAATTGAGGAGGGCAAAAGAGGAATTTATCAAATCATGAAGAATTTTCTACTTGCCTTTTCTTCCTGGGGCCATAAAATTAAAAATAGCCTAGAGTTAGAAAACTACAAACTACACCTTCACATACATACCTGGTTGTATAGGAGCTATCTTTCTCAATTTGGGAGAAGATGAACTATGTAGAGATCAGAATGAAAAACTAAACTGGTTTCCATTTCGACCTAGGTCAGATCACTCTGGCTAATGACAGCGCCATGAAACCCTCAGAGCCCATCAGAGCAGCTACTTACTGCTTGTGTTTAAGGCTCAAGCACAGCAATCATGAACTGGAGAACTGAAGGYACTACACAATGGTGACAGGCACCACCACAAGCTCTGAGGGTCCGAGTCCTTTCAGAGATGACAATTATATGCCACCATCTAATCAGCTAGCCTGGGGTCCAGCTCCTCCACTCTCTACAGATGGGAGCATATTAGCCCGGCTGCTGCTCAGGCCTCACTTATACAGGGAACCCACATGCCCTTTTCCCCCCACTAACTCTCAAAAGAGATTCATATAATTGGGGCCCCTCTAATTACAATAAGTAGTAGAGAAATGCTCCAGAAAGGAACACTAGGAGACCTCCTTCAGATCAGACTGAAGTGGGAGTAGAATAGAGCTGTGTGTGGCCTCAGGGCCTGGAAAGGACCCTCAGCTACTCCTGACTACCTCAGGTCTTTCTCTCTGAAGATAAAACCTCCCAAATGGTAAAAAGCAATCTAAGACTTAATCCTAAAATCCACCACTGCTCTCAGGAAGTGTTGGGGAAGGGAAGGAAGAAAGAAGCGTGCTCTCCTTCATTCTGTGACATGCTCTCACAGGCAAAAATAAGTGGAAGACAGCTAAAGAAAATGAAGAGGTCCGTGCCTAGTCCKCTCAGTACAAATTGGCAACAGTTTCGAAGGGAAGGGCTGTCGGGTTCTGGCTCATCTCAAGACCACTGGAGGCCAAGACTCAGCCCAGGAAGGACACCAGCAGGATAACTAGCAGTACTCTCACTCTCATGGGGATTAAAATCACAGRGCATTGCTTTTGTTGTTATTGCGTGTTGTTTGTTTTTGTTATTTTGTTTTGTTTTGTAAGCTAGGGAGGACTTCAGACACCTTAGTTTACCTCCATCATTTTTCCAAAGAGGCCCTGAAGCCTGGAAAGGTTAAACAGTCTACCCAGGACACACAGCTTGTCATATGACTCGGGGACATGGAGTGGGACAGAGGCTGCAGGGAGAGAGGCAGTGCAGGTGAACATCATGTAGCACATGGCTAGCTACATTCTGGCAAAAACTTCCCACCCCTGACCCTTTCCAGTAGAAATGTCACAGAAGTGGACAGGTCCTGGACCAAGCTTATACAAGGGCTTCTCTCTGGAGGGCATGAGGACTTGCAGACATGTCTTCATTTCCCAGTCCGAGAGGCCACCTGGATGGCTTTGATCCACTCTGTGCGTTCCTTGGGGGTGGCCGCTTGCAAGAAATAATGAACTTCATCAGCCGTGATGATCTCGAAAAGGTTCTCTTCATCACTCTTCCTGCCTGTGAGGAGAGAGCAAATGGCAGCACACATGAGCACCAGAAAGTCACCTGGCCTGCCCTCCTGCTCACAGGTCATGAAACACTTTTTAAAAAAATTCCGAGGAAAGTATGTGGTTTTCAAAATATAAACATTGTATGATTATGTATATTTATACATAAGTATAAATGTTGTGTTCATATGGATGGGTACATAATATGATCCTATATGTATGTGTATATTTGTAAGAAACAAGTAAAATACTCAAGGAGAAACATTTTATTTCATAGTTTGTAAGTAAAATTTTCACCTTTGCATTCCAATAATATTTCACAAATAATTTCTTTTTTGAGGAGGGCGGGGACCAGGGATTGAACTCAGGGGCACTCAACCACTGAGCTATATCCTCAGACGTATTTTGTATTTTATTTAGAGACGGGGTCTCACTGAGTACTTAGCACCTCAGCATTGCTGAGGTCGGCTTTGAACTTGTGATCCTTCTGTCTCAGCCCCTCAAACTGCTGGGATTACAGGMATGTGCCACTGCACCTGGCAATAATTTCTAATGGTATCTAATGACTGACTTTTTTCTGCTTATAATATAAACCAAGAGCTGATGGTTTTATATATATATATATATATATATATATATATATATATACACACACACACACACACATATATATATATGCATACATATTTGTATATACATATATGTTTATACATGCATATGAAAACAAAACCAATCCTACCATCAGTGCTTTACATGCAGTTTGAACTGATTTTTGTCAAGGGTTATGTTAGAGCCACTTAAAACATCCATCTCAAATTAAAAAGCTACATGATCCTCTCCAAAACTAAAGCATCGCTCTAGATGGCAGAGGGAGGAGGGCAGACCTAGGGTAGTGAAAATCTGGGCTTTTGTGGATATGGTTTTCTATCACCTTTATAATACCATACACCCAAAGTGGCAAAATAAAACCAGGGTTGGGCTGTCCAAACCACATCGCCCAGTGATTCCATTTGTCCTCTGCACCTCCGAAGTCAATGCACAGTCACATAACTATCCATATGTTCAGCATAAGCTTGTAAACTGGAAGAGACCAAGGTCATCCAGTGTAGCCCCTCGTTTTGAGAGGAAGAACTGAGATTCACCATAGTGGGGTGGTTCACTGAGGGTCATGTGGCTGAATGAGTAGCACAGACCTAATAGTAACCTGGTGCTCCATCCACTCACCACAATCCTTGTTGCACAAATGCTCCTTTTGTTGTGGGGAATTTCCTGGTCTGGATAGGTAAAAAAAAATTCCTTTAAGGAATGTCATCGTATCAGGTGCTAATAAGCTCTCTATCTAAGCCAATTTGGATGATGGATTTTCTCAGCATTGCTCAAGGACTTAAGACATCCACAAAGCCACTCCAGTTCCTCCAGGCCTGGAAAGCAGAGGCAGCTCAGGGAAGAGAATAGCTCTTGGTATCTCCAAGGTTTTCAGATAGCAAGCTCATGCATGCTTATGCCTAATTGATTGATTATGTTGGCACCAGATATGCAGGAGTACAAACAGAGTCTAAGCAGACACATCTCTCATAGAAATCTATTCTTACCATCTGTGTTACTCTCCACTGAAGTCACCACACAGCCTCTCAAGTGAACTGCTCCCAAGGGATCTTCCCCCTAGAGGAGAGAAAAATTGTTCATCCATACACTGTATGGATACACGGTATCCTAATGGTGCAAGAGTCTCATAGACTCACTCTGGTAAGTATTAAGAGATTAAAATAAATAATAGCAGAAGGACCTTAAAGGAAATTCATTCCAGATCCTCCATTCTCCACTTTCAGTGGATTCAGAGAGGTTTCATGAGAATATGCAAGTCAAGCTAGACTTCAACTCTGGAGGAAAGTGGCAGAAGTGGAGATGCTGAGGTCCCCATGCCCCTCTAAAGAAAAGATGCATGTTTACTGCACCTGACACAGTAGTATCACCCTCCAGGAGCAGATCAAAGAGCCCTGCACCATAAACAAAGACCAAGGACTCAACCCTAACATGGGTTTTTACTCTCCAGAGTTGGCTCATTTTATTGAGGAAAAAGCTCTCTTCAACAATCAACAGCCTGAATTGCAGGAATTAAATAATGCATTCATCCAGGTTGGCCTGGAAGAGGAATTATCACTGTTTTACAGAGTGTTGGACTGATTGAGTTTCCCTGAAAATATTAGATTAGGGCAAACAAAAAAATTACATTGAGCTAACCAAATAAATTAAAATACAGTGATATTATATTCCATCCCTCAGTTTATACTGGCCTTAAAGGCATAGGGATTCAGATCATTGCAGTGTGAGTAGGTAGGAAAAAGTAAAGGAAGATGGGTGAAAAAAAAGTGGGAGGGTGAAAAGAAAATGGAAATATGAACAACACAGAGAATAAGAAGCCCAGCCCATAAATGGAGTGGAGGTTTCCATTTGAATGGGTTTATTGACCACAGAATCTCACCCCAGCAGGGTCATAGTAGTGCAGGTAGGCAGGGTCTTCTCGAAGAACAAATTTTCTCACTTTCCAGTTTTTCCTCCTATGCCCCTAAATCCAGGAACAAGAAAAGAAAAGAAATGATGAGTTCCTAGCATCACTCKATATGTTCAGTGCCTAGATCATAAGTCTTTTCTGAATTGGATAACAGAAAAAAGAAGATGAAACATTAACTTTAGGAGAACAAGGCTCTGACCCAGGACATTCTCAGGGGATAGCACTGAGGGCAATTAATAACTTGTTGTTATTATATTAAATGGATGAACTAGATTATTTCCAAGCTTGGTTTGCAGTTTCATTATCATGTAAAGCGATGCTGTGTACTATATGCCATGTTAGGGATATTATCAGTTTAAGATGTGGGCCTGATCTTCAAAGAGTTTATGAACTATGTGGAAATATAAAATACCAAAGCCCAAATAAAATAATTTGTATAGATAATGGATTTGAAAGGAATTAAGTGAGGAATATGTAATTATGGGCTTTGGATGTCAATCAAAGCCTCATAAAGGCCTGGACTTGTCTGTGTGGGACACACAGGATTTAGATGGATATAAATATTATTGACAACACAAAAAAAAATGGGTGGAAATGCACAGGGCATGAGCAGAAGCTGATGAATGAGACCAGTCTGGCTAAGATGCACTGTGCATGAGGAGTAGCAGAAGCAAAGCTGGAAAAGTCACAGACCTTGGTMAAAATAAAATGACTTTTGAAAAGGAAGATGGGAGATAATTACTAAGACTTTTGAGTAGGGAAAAGATTACAATTTGGGGAAAATTAATATGGTGACAAAGTACAGAATGGACCAGCTAGATGGAATAAAGGAAAGCCAGGGAGAAGATAATAATGTAAAAATGAGGTCATTAGGGAATGATTGCAATAATCCAGACATAAAATTATTAGGAACTAACTTTAGGTAGCAGCAATAGCCATGAAAATGAATTTGGYTATAATAGACATAATAAAAATAGATTAAAACTTGGTCTTCCTCAGTAGAATTAAACCCTTGGCATCATCTAGTCTGTGAATTTTAAGAACAGGAACTTTCTCTTTGTTCCCCAGTGCTCACCATATTGTCTGGATCATGGAAACTGCTCCATCTCTCTTTGTAATGGCCATTAAAGAGCAGGTTTAATGACCACAGTCAACCTGATTCTTGATTTTTTTTCCACAGAAAATTCAAAGGATTTAAATACCTCCACAAGCTTAAAATGGTATTAAATTAGAAGATAACATACTCTGTACCCAAAATGAAGAATAATCTAAAGTGCCACATATCAACAGGCATATATAAAGATGGATTTTCCAACATTTTTCATTTTGCTGATGTACAAAACAATGAATAATGTGTGGTTTTAGCAGAGCCTCCTTCATAAAATCAGGTCAGAGGAATTTAAAGAGCACTTTCAAGAAGGGGTCTAAGTTTTATGGCCAAGAATTTGGTAAAAATGAAAAAAAAAAAACACCTCATTTCCAAAGAATCTTTTACTTGCCTGAAGGGATAGAGCCAGGAACCCTACAGAGTCACATGGAAGGGCAGGAAATAGATCTGTCTGCTATATCATCATTGGCATTTGCAATGCAGCAGCTTCTAAAAGTATGGATTCCTACTCTTTCCCTTAACTAACGTCATCCATGAGATACAAACACTACAGTTGCCACCCCTCACCATTTCCTCTTCATCTGCACACCCTCATGTCATGCTGTCTTACAAAATTACTGAGTGATCACCAGATCATGAGCTGGTGGAAGAGGAAGGTAACAGGAAAGAGGAAGGTGAAACCAGCCTTCCCTGACTAGTCACCTCATTCCCTTGAAGTCCTCACTGACATCAGGATGGTATACTGCAGAGTTTGCTGTAATTGGGGGTGTCTGGTMATCTTTCATTTTAGGAGTGTTTCCTGGGGGATTTTAAGTAATGTACGCAGGCCTGAGCTTTCCAAGATTATTGCTAAACTTGTCAAAGTCATCTAATTATATTCAATTGAATTCACTTCACAAGTGTTTACTGCCAATCATGGACCAAGAGGGACACTGAACTTCACAGTAGAAACAAGATGCCTGTATAACATCTGGTTGGGAATTAAACAACTACATATTTCATTCATTGTTTTAACAGAAGAAATTATACAAAGAAGGGATTATACTGAATCTAATCCACAACCATTTACCCTCAAACTTTCTCCATTGGCAAAGTAGAATTATTTCCTCTGAGGTGAAAGTGGGACACAGTCTTCCAGTTGGACAAAGCTATTTCCCACCTCTGAAGTGTGGAGCACAGTTCCTTTTTCATGACAATCTTGGTGGGCAGGTTAGCCTTGGCTAGCTCCCAGCAAGGGATATAAAAGTACTTTACTTTTTGAGGAACTAAAATTTTTTTTTTAATTCCCTCAAGTGATTCTGACATGAACCACAGTTACTAACCACTGAGGCTAAGTAAGAGGTTGGAAACATTAAAGAAAAATGCCAATTCAAATAGAAGAGGTCTTTGGTTTTCTCCCTACCCTGCCCCACMGAAAACAATTTGGAAGAAAGAATAGTGTAAAAGAACCAAATCCCTGAATGCATACAGATTCCTRTTTTCTCTAAGAAGAAAGGAAGTTTATAGAATGACATTTTAAATAGTTGTATTTTAAAAATAGAATAAATTATCTTTTAAGACTAAAAAGGCTAGCTCATTGGTTCTCAGCACTGGCTACACATCAGAATCACTTAGAAGCCACAAAATTCCAAAGACTGGTTTGATCAGCCGGGGTACAGTTTTTATAGCTCTTCAGCTGTCAAATTTGTTTATCAACTGGGCTAGCTACAACTAAATTGTACCTAACAAAGGTTAGGTAAGGAAAGGTAAAGAAAACACACATATAAGTTTACTACAGTTGCCACCCCACACCATTTCCTCATAGTCCCTATCATCTTCAAAACACATTCAGGTACCTATTCCTTAACCAATTTTTGACTATTCATCCATCTCCTACTGGGTGCTCCACCTAGATATGGCTCCAGTCCAGCCCAGGTGTTTTATATACCTTCTTGCTTAGCTTTCTAAGAACTCCTCTCAAGATTAGGGCCTGGGGCTGGCCATGTAGCTCAGTGGTAGAAAGCTTGCCTAGCATACATGAAGCCCTTGGTTCGAAAAGGAAATTCCCTCCAAGTTACTCCTGTCTTAACAGTCATCTTCCAGCATCTGAAATCAAAGAACCTAGAACCTAAGAATGTTTTCTAGAATCAATGAGGAATCCAATGAGGGGCAAACTCTGAGTCTTTCCTATGTAAAATTGGCCCTGTCCCCACTGCCTTTCCTTTAATCTAGTCAAGTTGTTTACCTTGTCATAAAAGATATTGGAATAGGACATGAATTCTTTCTAAATCCTTGCTGTATATTTCTTAGGACCTGGTTCTTTTAAAACTTGGAGCTAAGACAAGTTTTCAATACTAATGTTTCACTTCCCCAGGATAATTCAAAATCCTCCTTATTACCTAATCTCAACAAAGCCAATGAGACTTATATTTTAAAATAAAAATATATGCTCTGTTTTGGTTCTTTTCTCCTTGTTCATTCCATTAACCACTGACATGAAGGACTATAATATGAAGTAAAATCTCTTAGTCTCATGGAACCTATAGGTAGTACACAGAAATTTCTTTACAACAACCAGGCTTTCTCCATTATATACTGAGTGGTGCTTGCATTTATTTATTTATTTATTTATTCATTCATTCATTCATTCATTCATTCTCATTAGTTATACAAGATASCTCTTCAATTCATTATACACAAATGAAGCACAATTTTTCAGTTCTCTGGTCATACATAAAGTATGGTCATACCATTCGTGCAATCATACGAGTACCTAAGGTAATGATGTCTGTTTCATTCCACCATTTTTCCTACCTCCAGGCCCCTCCCCAGTTTGGCCCATCCAAAGTTCCTTCACTCATTCTATGTCCCCCCATTATGGATTAGCATCCACTTATCCTAGAAAACATTCGGCCTTTGTCTTTGGGAGATTGGTTTACTTTGCTTAGCATGATATTCTCTAACTCCACCCATTTACCTACAAATGCCATAATTTTATCCTCTCTTAATGCTGAGTAATATTCCATTGTGTATATGTACTACACTCACATATTGCTGGTGGGACTGCAAATTGGTGCAGCCTATCTGGAAAACAGTATGGAGATTCCTTAGAAAACTTGGAATGGAACCACCATTTGACTATCCCACTCCTTAGTCGATACCCAAAGGATTTAAAAACAGCATWCTAGAGTGACACAGCCACCTCAATGTTTATAGCAGCACAGTTCACAAAGGCCAAACTGTGGAACCAACCTAGATGCCCTTCAATAGATGAATGGATAAAGAAACTGGATGGTGCTATTAATACAGCTCACAGTACAGCCAGAAAGACAAGACTTTGGTCCTCTGAAGTGGCCTGGGCTTCTTTGCCACCCTATGCTAGTATCAGTTCATTTCACCCTGAATATTCCCACGTCTTCCTGCTACTTATCCCTCTGCTAAGTGCTGGCTCTGGCTTCCTTGTTCACCCCCAGCCCTTCTATTCTCCTACCTCGAAGCATCATGTGCCTTGGCCCCTAAAAACTGACTAGAGATATTCAGCTCACCCCAGTCCTTTCCTCCCAGATTGATGATGTCCTATATTTGTAGACACCTGGTAACTGCATATAACTTCCCCCAGGGCTATGTCCATGCCCTCAGACTAGATTTGACCTTTGCCTGCAGTTTCTGTGGGGAGCTGGCCTTGGGCTTGTTCTAGTTTTTGGTTTCACCATGCTTACACACAATCTAGAATGGTACTCCTTGCCCACAAAGTGCCTAATGTTCTTACCTGGGTGTGGCCTTTACCTATCTCCTGGTGACTTTGAAAGGAGGAAGAGAGGCAAAATGGCAGTACTTCAGCATAAAACATCTTTGTCTTTTGGATGACATCTCTTAGCCAATTTATTTCCTCCAGAATGAAAGGGGAAATATTTTCTTAAAACTTTTTCTCCCTGTGATGTTGATAAAGGAGATCTTTTTCTATTGTAGGGGCGTCTTGTGCCCTGTCTGCCTCAGTCTTCCCAATCTAATGTTTGGGAAGATAATCTTTGATCATCGACTTAGCTAATCCTCTCACTTTTATTCTCTGGATTTCATTTTCTGGTTCAGTATTGGTCAAATAAACTAAATGCCATTGAGTCATTTAGGGAAAACTTTGGGGGAAATTGCTAAGGGGAAAGGCTAGGAGGAAATAGGGGTGGCCACTCACCTGCTTCAGTAAACATCCCTGCTTGATAATCATCCCTCTGAATTCTTCTTTCAGAATCACATCATCATCATCACTGGAATTCTCTTCACAGAAGAACCCACTGTCTGGCTATTGGGAAAACAATCAGCAAAGTGACTTCACCAGTTTTAGGCATATTGCTCTGTGCACCATGCCCACCTCCCTCTCCCTTCCAGCTAGTGAGACAGGTTCCTCCTCTTCCTTCCAGCTACTGGGCATATCCCCATCTGAACTTTAAAGGCTGTTCTTGGTTAGCTAGTCTCCTCTCCTCCATTTTTCTTGCTTCTACATGCCATTCCTTTCTCAGCTCCACTTAAATGTTATCTTGACAACATCCTTTCATTTTCTAAGATTCCATAAGCTATATTCTTTTAAAAAATTTTTTTAGTTGTAGATGAACACAATATTTTTATTTTTTTTAATGTGGCGCTGAGGTTTGAACCCAGGGAGGGAGGGAGGCAAGCAATCTACCACTGAGCTACAACCCCAGCCCCCCCCCAAAAAAACTATATTCTAAGTCTATCTCCATCTTCCTCACCTTGTGTATTTCTTCCTTTGAGGCCTCCTTTTCCTGGAACCTCATAGCCACATTCTTGAAGCCAGGGTGATTGACATTAAAACACTTTACAACACTATCTTCCTCAGGACCTTTACCACTCAACCCCTTCTCCAACTTTAAGAACACTAAAGAGCAAGGGTCCAGCACCAACCCCTCACAWCAAGAGGGAATCGGTAACAAATTGCTCAGTGATAAATCATACAGAGGAGCAGTCACTGTGATGGGTATTTTTAGGATCCTATTTATTTAAATAGCTATAAATAATAAAAAGTTTGAAGAAAAAAAAATAATGACAGAGAAACTTCCTCTAAAGTGAAATGAAACTCTATTTGGGATGTTCACTTCATTTTTGAAAKAAGGATGTTTCTCTTAAGTAGTTTCCTAACTTCTATATTCTGATCCAAAATAGAAACAAAACTGCAAAAATTCCCCCAGAAATCCACAGTTGCCAGAATTATCACACAGCCCAAGATTGGGTCCCCATTGTGTAATACAGCATTTCCCAATCTGCAATAAGCAGACTAGACGTGGGTAGTACACAACGTGTAGGATGTGACATGCATAGACACACTGTGTATGAAGAGCCACCTATTTTAATGTATATTTGAAAATAAAATTACAACCAGCTCTGTGATTTTTTTGTACATCTGTGCCTGCATTTTCTTTTCTGCTCTATCTCCTTTGTCTAGGAAAGGGCTTGCTATGTAGGAGAGCCTAATAAATTTGTATAAGTAAATTATTGCTTAGTATAAGAATGAAAAGAGTAGAGTTAAAAAAGTCAGTTTTTTWAAAAAAACTATTCAAGTAGTCCACCATTTCCTTTAAACTGTTTCGCTTGGATGGGACAGCGTTGTGGAGTGAACAGCTGTCAAGTCTGGGTCTTGCTGGCGTAATAGAAGCTTCGTGGGCCTCAAGGCTGCATGGCTTGGGGGCTTGGAGTAGTTCCTTTTTCTCCCCGGTTGATCTCACCCTTCCCCCACCTCAGCTAACAGTTCTCTGTRGGTCTGGGCACTTTCTTTGGCATATGTGGCTAAGAACTGAAATCAACAGAGACTTTGCCCTGGGCTGTCCCCCAATGGGAAGAATAGATCGGTAGCTTTTCTCACTTACAAAGTAGTAGAAGGCATCCGGGTTGTCCAGGAAAGGGTTCTCAGCAATCCCATCCGCTGCGTTCTTGGACAGGTCTCCAGCAGGCTGCAGATAGCCTTCATTGAGCAGTGATGAGGCAATCATGAGGCCTTCCTGGCGATTCCGAATAGATTTGTTGGATACCAACCAGTCGATGACACAGCTACCTAGAGAGGACCAATAGAGGGAATGTTAATCCTCCTCAAAGAGCAAGCCACTGGCCATCACTCTTGCACGGGCTCCAGAACACCTGCATGTCCAACTTGTCTCATCCTCCCTGCTATTCCAAGAAGGAAAAAATAAAATTAGTGGGATAGAGACGTGAAAACAAAAAGAATCATGTAAGAAGTTTTTTTAAATGTCTACATGCTGTGTAAGAAGCAACATCTGCATCAAAGAAATCATTTTTCCTAGCCCACTCATTTCTTTCATTAATTAACATTTATTGAGCATCTAGTAGATCGAGCACCTAATAGGTACTCTGATGGGTATTGGGCAGATTCACTTAGGGAATCTAAAAGACAGAGATGCATGAGAAGTATTAGAACCCAGCAAGTCAATACTGCAGATCTACTGAGTCACATCTGAAGGTGTGGAAGGGGCAGGGGAAGGAGGAGGGGACTGCCATGCACTGTCCGGGGAAAATATTCATAGAGAAATTGACACTGGGCTGAGACCTAAAAAAAGCAGTAGGTGTTTGCAAACATGTAAGACAGGGCTGAGAGGGTTCAGCACAGGCCGAGGAGCAAGGGGTGCGAAGATTCACACAAGCTGCAGCTGCCCCAGCAGTGGGGGCGGGGGCAGGAGGAGGAGTGGTGAGACCAGGCAAAAGGAGAGGAGGAGAAGGAAGATGCAAGATAACTGGGAAGAACTTTGATGGCATGTTAAGTCATTTGGCACTAAGGAGCCATTGCAAGTTTTTAAGCAGCAAATATCATCATGATGGGATGTGTGTCCTAAATTAAAATTTGATGACCTTATTTGTTTATCATCACACCTCTGCAGGATCTTGCAGGTCCCTCAAGAAGTCATTTAATCAAACTTTTGCCTCAAGAAAGGATAACAAGGGGAATAAAATGAAATTGACCCAAGGGTTAGATTACTAACAGGTGAAAGTAAAGAGCTGCATCCATAACAGTGCATTTTTTTTAGATGACAATGACAGAGCCCATGTAACCCTGCCAGGCCTGGGTCATCCAAGCAAGGGCAGTGGGGCGTGCCGCCCTTGCAACAGCAGTGAGAGCTTTCGGTAAGGGAGCCTTCTGTGAATTTCATATATGAGAAGTTTAGTCCACTTTTTCTAGAAGGATAAATTAATACTGAATCTCTGTTTTTAATCCCTGCAGCAACCCTATAAAAGAGGTAGGGTAGTAATTACAGACCTTATTTGAAGGATGGGAGAATTTAGACTCAGAGAGTTTAAGTGTCCTTAGGCCTAGGTTGCCCAATGCTGGGCCTTCACATTTTATGCTTGTTCAGCTAGGCGTGCTGAAGCCTGAAAGATAAGCTCACTCTAGTGTCCCTGTCACCTGATATTCAAGGTCCTTCATCACACATCAGCACATCTGGGTCCCAGTCTCTGCCTCAGTCTTCATCTCCCAGCTGAGACTACTTGACTCCCCTGAAGCCTCTACCCATGGAAATTTCTAGAACCCACCATGACCTTCAATAGAAAAGACATATGAAGTAGTAACCCAATACCCTGGGACTCAGGAGCACATAAACACAAGAAATGAGTGTCAGCTGGATCTTGTGACCAGATCTACATTGGAACCTCTTCCTGTTGCCTTTGCCCTTTGTTCTGTAGACCTGACCACAGTCCTGTAGAGTTAGGTCGCTGTCTTGCTCTTGTCAGTTTCCCTCACCAACAACCACAGCTAGGTATCTTGGTCTCAAATCTCATCCTTTACTTGTCTGATGCTAACGGGCTGCTGCCTGAACTTCCTGAGACTCATTCCTATGAAATACTCCCCTGATACTACAGCTCACATTCTTCCCCTTCTCCTTCCTGACCCTGACCTGGACCACTGTCATAGATTATCTGTTGAGCTGGGCACAGTGGCACATGCATGTAATCCCAGCGGTTTGGGAGGCTGAGGCAGGAGGATCACGAGTTCAAAGGCAGCCTCAGCAATTTAGCAAGGCCCTAAGCAAYTTAGTGAGACCCTGTCTCTAAATAAATTATTTTTAAAAAGGGCTGGGGATGTGGCTCAGTGTTTAAGTGCCCCTGGGTTCAATCCCCAGTACCAAAGGAAAAAAAAAAAAAAGATTATCTGTTGATCTTATACCTCAGATTCAATATCTCTCATATTTTCTCAGAATTTACTTCCTTTGATGCCTCTTGTCATCATAAGTAACCCATGCCTGGTAACTGATAAATCTTGTCCAAAACTATACATCTCATTTTGTTCCCCTTAATGAACCATCTGCCCTACCGGGCAGGTCAATTTCTTTTTGTTAGATACATATTGTGCATCTCTGCCCAATAACTTTGTTCTCACTGTCCTATGCCAAGCCTCCTCATCAGACATCCTCCTCATGAATGATATACCCATATTTCAGGGTCAAAGTTAGGTACCACCTCCTATTCACCCCCAACAACCCTCTGAACTCTTTCTCTTTTCTGAACTCACTTAGGCAGACATGTGACTTCCTCAGTCATAATAGTCACTTGAGTGCTTGCTCCACTAGCACCGCTGTGTGTCAGACAATGTTCCACACACAGAACAGCAAGCCTATAAAGTACATAGGCTATGACACCCACATTTTATAAGGAAAGTGAGGGACAGAGAGGCTAAGTTATTGGCCTGAGCTTTTATAGTTAGTAAGTTAAAGACCCAGGAGAATTTGAACTAAGATAGTCTGGTTCCAATGAACATGTTTCAATCACTACATCATACTACCTAAGCTCATAACACCTAAAACTCTACCCCGTGCAGCCTCTGACATCCTAATATTATCACTTAATTCTAACATTATATGTCTCCACCCCTGTTTATCATAACAAGGTATGCATCTTATTTAATTGAGTATGTATGGCTAACAATTATTTAATGYCATTTATTGGGGGAGAAAGATCCTTTAATTGATGCAGCTAGAACTTCTGAAATGTTATCTTGGACACAAACGTTTTTTCCACCCTTCTTTCTGATTCTACATGGGGAAAAGTCAATTCTTATGTTCATCACTCTGCATTTAGTGACACTGTTCATTCCCCWTGCTCCAGGCCCCCACCAGACACATAGAGCTGAGGGACAGCAAAAGGAGAACTCCCGATTCCCTCCCTTCTCACCCCATTTCAGGCATGCACATCCTTTTACCTGTGAAACAGTGGTTAAAAACCTTCTTGTCCTTTTCTAGATTCAGCTCTTTTATTCCTCTTTCAGTGTCTTTCATGGACAAATATAAGGCACTACAAAGAGATTAAAAAAAAAGATGGTGAGTAGGGAACATTTCAGAATAGTGGGTTCTCTCTGGGAGTTGCCACCCTGGAGAGGCTGGCCATGAGCACAAGCTTCCCTTGCCACTTTGAGTAACCMGTGAACCTATTTCTCCACCAGACCATAAGAGAAATACTCATATTTACATAATGCTGTGGCCTGCAGAGCATTTAGTAAAATGCACTAGAAAAATACATAATGYTTCCAAAATTCATTAAGCTCTTTTTAAATTTAAATCCTGGTGCCTGAGGTGGAAATTGCCCTGAGTTAGGTTCCAAAGATTAAAGGTTTTGAGGGMCAATTTTTCACTCACATTGTAGATCTTTAAGATCCCTGGAATATCCCCCCAAAAGGCTCATGAGTTAAAGACTTAGTTCGCAGCTTGGTCCTATTGAGAGGTGGAGGACACTAAGGAGGTGGGGCCTTGTGAGAGGTCTTTCAGTCATTGGGGACCTGCCCTCAAAGGGAACTGTGGTACCCCAGACTCTCTCTCTTTCACAACCCAAAAGGAGGTGAATGTTTTCACTATACCATGCACTTCTGCCTGATGTACCACTATTACCAAAGGCCTAAAAGCAAAATGTATCCAACTGACCATTGACTGAAACATCCAAATCTATGAGCCAAAATGAACCTTTTCTCTTTGTAAGTTGATTATCTCAGGTATCTGTTACAATAATGAAAAGCTGATTAACACAGTCCCCCCAATTATTTAAAGATCTTCAAGAGACCATGTTGTAGACTATTGCCTTGAAGAAACCAAACATTTCCACTAAGCTTATTTTTTATTCTRAAAATGATGAGATAAGGCAAAATAGAAGTTCTCACTTTTCTTGTCCTTGGAACAATAAACCAAAAATAGCCTTATCAGAGAATCTAAGGCCCAACACAGGCCACTTTCTTGTATATTGTGGCTCCATGTAGTTTGAGCATCATTTCCTCCCTGACGTCACTGAGGAATGTGATCACCTGACGTCCCCAACCAGCAGCTGCAGCCAAAGCCAGGTGTCATCTCCTCTTGGGTCTTTATCAAAAAGCTCCTATGGTGAGGGAAGCTGCTGAGTCTTACTAAGCTCAATGCCCAAACATGACTCCTGTGACAGGAGTCTTGTATTAATCATGCAGCTGTGTCTCCTCTTAGATGTGCCCCATCTCTTACCCACTCCTTGTGAAGAGAATTCTTATTAGACATTTTAAGCAACTAGCTTATATTCCCCCCAACAGGGTTCCTGTTTCAGAGTATGCTCAATTGAAAAGCAAAACTACCAGAAAGAAAGATATTCCTGCCAGGTGAGGTGGCACATGCCTGTAATCCCAGCAGCTCAGGACACTGAGGCAGGAGAATCACACAAGTTGAAAGCCAGCCTCAGGAAAAGTGAGGTACTAAGCAATTCAGTGAGACCCTGTTTCTAAACAAAATACAAAATAGGGCTGGGGATGTGGCTCTGTGGTCAAGTGCCCCTGAGTTCAATCCCTGGTACTCAAAAAAAAAAAAAAAAAGAAAGAAAGAAAGAAAGAGATTCCTGTGCTCATAGAAGATATGAAGCATGCAGGAAAGAACTCCATTCACAATCTCTGCCAAGAGGCTATATTTACCTGTTGGTCTCTGACCCCCTTTAGATGATAACTATCACTTGCAATGCCAAGCTAGCCAGTATCGCAGCCTATTAAACTTGGGCAGGGAACAAATGGCTTTCATGCAGGATGGGTGTTCATCCTGGCTGGCCCTTCCTGACTATGAGAATAAAAGCATGAATTCAAACTTGTAATCTCACTTGCTTATATACTTAATTCCTGCTTCCTCCTTGCTGCCTAGAGATCCTGATGTTTTCTTTCCAGATTAATAACTTATTATGGCTACTTCATAAATGAAATGATGAGCCATCCATTCTCCCCACCCCATCCCCACAGATATACACCACATACACAAAGCTACCCAGTGAGGGAAATTATACATTCCTATTCCATTAGCTTCTTGCCTCAGACCCAGTTAAACATCTAGGTCCACCAAGTGCCAGTGGAGCTTGGCAGAGTGGATACAGACTTCAGAGGTGGCCAAGCAAGCCTTGGAGCAGGATCTGTTGAGCTCTTCCCCTCAGAAAGCAGAGAGAAAAAAGGAAGGGTAGAGAGAGGCAATCCCAGAAAATCACCCTAARTCGATGGTTTCTGGCAGACGAATGGACCTCCTTGTGGATTTCCTTGCAAACTTCTGGCCTCCTTCAATGCATTTAATGGCTCTCTTGATGTCCTTAACCCAAGCATCTCTCTCCTCCAGGAAGCTTGCCTGGAAGAAGTGGTCCTGCTGTTTGGTGGTAGTAATCTTAAACACAAACTGAAAATCAAAACACATCCCATTAGAAATGACCATGTTTAAGGCACCGAGGCCCATCATAAAGAGAACAGTTGACCCAAATGCCATGGTGAAGTGTGGTTGATAGTGAATGAGGCTGGTCCAGGGGGTACTGCTTATACTTCAGGCCATGCACAGACTTAAAGGTCAGTGCCTGACCCAGATTTGTAGCTCACGATGTCCACTCACCATCCTCTTGGCAAAGTCCTGACAAGAGCTCATCAGAGTGCTTCCTTTCAGGGGGATCATCCCTTTGGGGCTGTTGTCACTTTTCTTCTTGTAGAATTCAATTCCATCTTCTAACAATACGACCCACATGGCTTTCCAGGTGTTAAACAYGCTCCCCTGGAATGACAACAGAAAGATCTGAGATGGGCAGGGTTCCTTGGGTACAGTTTTGAGTACAGCTCATATTTCTTTGTCTTCATGTACTTTTCAGTTCTTAACTGCCTGTTATGAGAAGAGAAAAAATAGAAAAATGACAACCACTGGTATTTTGTCAAAAGGTTTTTAATTTTTAGAAAATTTTAATTCCTGGGGGTGTTTATCAGAATTATAGAGTCAAAATATAGAAAGCAATTTTCCTAGAGCTTTTCAAAATATGATCTTCAGACCATCTGATCTGATTCACTGAAGATGGCTGAAAATAAAATCTGGTCCCACCTCAATTCTGCCTTCACTTGTAAGGCCAGACCTTGCTTCCGTGATTGCTGAATATCAAACGACCCAGTTCAAGCTCTGCTGTGTCCTTGCTACTCAAACTTGAGCAGCCTTTCTGAGCTTCAGTTCCCAGTACTAAAATGGGGGTGACAACGATTGCCTCGGAGGATTCTAGCACATATTAATGGAAATAATGTGGACAGGACTTTTAAAGTTCAACTGTGGTTATAAACAGGAGGTTGTATTATTAAATATCTTAAAAGATGGTCATGTTTGTATGCCTGTTTGAGTTTCTAGCACAATAAACAGCTACTCTTTCATCCTCTCTCAGTGGTAATGAACTRGTAGCACTATCATCTGGTGAATGAGGAAGACCCTGGAACATTGAGCCAGGTGCACTRTAGAATAATGAATGGGAAAGCTGAAGTCCATTTGTGGATGTATTTGTGAGCAAACAAGTCACCTCTCTTTTGGTTTCTTTTTTGGTAGATTAAGGTTTGGGGTCATCCCTGGACTTGCATGCCTCCTAGGTCATCATTTGGCATGTGTGTATTTAGGGTGCTTGAAAGTACAGGATGACCTCAAACCTGCATTTGACCCTTGTGCTGTTTATTAGTTGTACATATCCTAGGGGGAATGTGTTTAATTTCTGAGCCACAGTTTTTTTTAAAGAGAAGATAATAATTCTATCTTACATCATATTAGCAAGTACTAATTAGGTTTACATAATGAATAAAATATGTATGTATGTGAACAATACATCTATACTTACATATATACAGGAATTATACAATGTATATTTATGCATACATATATATATATATATATATATATATATTCATATGTGCATTTAAAACATAAAGTATATAAAACATTGTCAGCTAAAAATTGCCAACAAACTCTGTTAATTTCAGGAGGTCAAGAACCTACCACTGAATGACATTACCAGGTCTTCAATAAATAATTTGTGGCATGAATGGTTGTAATTTAAAATCACATTATGTGATAATGAGTATTTAAGACTAAATGAGGAAGATATGAAGACATGATTAACACTAGAGTAGAAACAAATTATAACAATGTTTTCTGAAATTATTCTACAGACACATGCAGGACTTAATAAATAGCACAGCTTTGATCAATATAGAGGGAAGTGATCCATATTTGTATGATCAGCTTGCTCAGGAAAGCAGCCTTCATTGGAGAAGGGAAGTTTCATTTTGTTAGAATTGTTTTTTTTTTTTTTTGGCTGGGTGGGGGCTGGATACTGGGGATTGAACTCAGGGCCACYTAACTACTGAGCCACATTCCCAGCCCTTTCTTATATTTTTTATTTAGAGACAAAGTCTCCCTGAGTCACTTGGCACCTCACTGTTTCTGAAGCTTGCTTTGAACTCAAGATCCTCCTGTCTCAGCCCCCTGAGCCACTGGGATTACAGGCATGCACCACTGTGCCTGGATAGAACTATTTTTTAATTAAGATCTATACACACACACACACACACACACACACACACACACACCCCTATAATCAGCCTCTAATGGGCCATGACCAAGGGAGTACAATTTGGATCTCCACTCTCCTTCATGCGCATTCCAGGCTGACTTTCTGTGGTTTACTTTCTGCTCCCAAGCCTGCTGATTGTGTTTAATTCAACTCAAGGATGGTAAATAGATTCTATCTCAAGTGCCAGCTTAAACTAAATAGGAGTGTATGCCTGAATCTGGGCAAACTAGAAAAGCATCTTGATCAACAGCTGTGTCCATGCTCACAGAGATCCTAAAGTGCTGCAGTGCTTCCATCCCTTGGTTCAATCAGATTTTATCTGAATATGGATGTCAAGAAGAAACTCAGACAAGAGCCTGTGTGCAGGCATGGCTAGGCTCTATGAAAATCACTTGCGAATTGGTCTACAATATGAGTGATGCTATCAGAGTCAATGTGGCTCACAGGAAAATTAATACTTACAAAGATTCAGTTTGGAGTAATGCCAACTGCTCCTTTAGCAACAAATTAACCATTCTGACTAGACTGAGAAAATTTCTTTTTCTGGTTTAATTTGGGAGAGGGCTTTGGAAAAGGAATAAAGTAAATTCCTTTGCCTCTMTTCCTTGACCCACAATACCACCCTGTCATGACCACCACAAATTAAAATTATCATCCAGCTCCCAGCAGATCCTGCTGCTTATCTCAAATACAAAGAGCTTCTATATAAAGGTCTAGTTGCCCCAAAGGAAGACTATACAAAGAAGATAATCACTTTTTCTTGTCCAAACATTTCCTTTGATTGGCTCCTAAAAGAGTTGTCCCCCACCCCCAACTAAARTACACTATCACTTTTTTGCCCAGGCAGAATAATTAATCCAAAGCAACACTACACTATTTCCCTTTTCAAAAAATGGACAAGGTCAGATACTATGCCAACACATTAAATAATTTTAATCAAATTCCTTCCTATTTTACATCTTAGATTCATATCCAGTACATAAAGAACTCCTTAAAATCTATAAGAAAAGTAGAAACAATATGATTTTTACACGGGCCAAAAAAATGATAAACAGGCATGAAATCAAAGAAGATATATGAAAAAGTGTTCACCMTCATTGTTTAKCAGGGAAACATGGATTCAAACCACAATGAGATACCTTGACACATCCACAAAAGTACCCAAYATTTATAAAGATAGAGAAGAGCAAGATTTTTCAACAAAGAAGAATAACTGAAATTTCTATACATAGCTGGCAGAAATGCAAAATGTTATATCCTATTTGGAAATTTTACCCTAAAGCTAAACACAGACACGTGCCCTTTGCACAGCAATTCCACACCTGGTCACWGATCTGAGAGAAATGAGTGTATACTGCCAAAAAGGTTAGATACTAGAATATTCATAGCATCCATGCAAYGTCATTCATAATAGCCAAAAATGGAGAATAACTCAAATACCCATCAACAGGAGGAATGGATAAGTAAACTGTACAGTGAAAACATATAAATTTATTATTAATACAGTGAATTCACATAACAGAATACAACTTAATGATTTAAAAAAGTGAACTACTGGTACTTACAACACCACAGATCAATTTCATAGACATTATATCAAGTGAAAAAAGAACAGGCAAAAAATGAACTTAGAGTATGAATTCATTTATGTGAAGTTCAAGAACAGGCATAACTGGTGAGAGGTTACACTAATGGTAACCTATGATGGGAGTATAGAGTTGGAAGGAGAGCAATGATTTTTATGGGATACTGTCAATGTCTCATCTTGTTCTGTGTATGATGTACATTATGTGTGTGTGTGTGTGTGTGTGTGTGTGTAAAAATTATGGCATAGCTTACATGCTTTTTTGTATATATGTTTTCCTTCAAGTTAAAAAGCAATGTTCTGTTTAGCTGTATACAGGTCCTGAGAATTAATTCCATGAAAGGCATACACAATGATTATAGTAATATGGCTCTGTTCAGGTTGCTTTTTATGTGGTGCTGGGGATTGAACCCAGGAGCTATAACACTGAGCTTCATACCCAGCACTTTCAATTTTTTAAATTTTGATTTATCATTCAACTAATGATAAAAGAGTCTGCTTCAGACACAACCTGGTATTGAGTGTAACAAATGAACATTAAGTTGCCCAGGCTGGCTTTTAACTTGTGATCTTCCTGCCTCAGCCTCCTGAGTCACTGGTGTTATAGACAAGCACTTCCATACCTGGTCAGGTTGATCCTATGAAAGAGCACTATTCTAGTTTAGTTACCTTTCTCATTTGATCACTGGAAAAACAGCATATTCATGCAACATAGGGCCCTTGACTGAATAATGAAGTATTTAAAAGCAGTTGTGCATATTATTGAGTCATTTGGAATTGGTTGAATATAAAAAGTTATGTTAGTTACAATGGCATTGTWTCAGGGTTAAATTTCTTGGATGCAATAATGGCATTCAAGATTACATAGGAKATTATATAGGAGAATATCCTTGTTCTTACTAGATATGTGTTGAAGTAGTGGAGTGAGTTAGCATGATGTTTGCAAATTACTCTCAAATTTCTTGACATAAAATTATATGTGGGCATATTTGTAGAGAAATATCAAGAAGAAAAAAAAAAAGCAAATGCATCCTTTCCTTACCAACGGATGAATCTAGGTAAAAAGTATATGGTTAGTGGAAGTGGGTTTCCCAATTTCTATAGGTTTGAATATTTTTAAACAATTAGGGAAAGTTAGTAAATAAATTTACAACATTTGACATTCTATGTATTAAAAATTCGAATATAATTTTACTGAAATATATAGACAAATCTGATAAATAAAAATTGAAATAACTAGAAATCAAAAAGATGTATCCACAGACTTTCAGAGTAGAGTTTCAACTAGATGACTGCTAAAATCCTTTTCAAACCTTAAGTTTAATATTCAACTGTAGGCCTATCTAGGATAATACCTTCCATAATCACTCAGGGCTTTTGACCTTAGAATTGGAATAAATTGGTAAAAATCTGTCAGAACTGCATTCCCTTTGCAGACAATTAAAGCATCCAGAGACAACTGTCCAAAGTGAATGTGTGCTTTCCTTATTCAAATATAGCTTTAGGGGCTGTCAGCAAACTCCTAGAGGGATGTGTCATTTGGGATTTGGGGTCATTATGCAAATTGAGGAACCTAATACTTGGAAAATCAAG